GGTTTGGGCTTTAGGGTTCAGGGCTCAGGGTTCAGAGTTTGGGCCTGGCGGGCGAGCTCCAATCAAGTCTGTGTAAAAAAAGGCCTTGCGGTTTTAGGGTTAAGGTGTTCTTGTACAGTTACAGACCTTCTACCCTACAAGCGTAGCTAAGTTGTGCTGCCCTTCAGACAGGCTTGACAGTTCGAATGCCTGCGAGGGAGAGCGGGTTAAGGTATAGCTTCGAGGTGAGGCGGGCATGAAGGCATGTGCATTGCAGCCTCTCCTCAGAAAAGGGTTGAAGTGTCCAGATTCGAGACCGAATTCTCCTGGCATTTCCGTATCAAAATCCCGAATCTCCAAGACCCTGCACCCGCATCGATCCGGCAACAAACGGAAGCCCCTGCTGACATGTTGTCACATTACACTGGTGTTTTGTGCCCACATGGGCCGTAATGATCTCTTTCCCGGTGGCCTCGATTCGGATTTATCTGAAATCGTCCAGGCGTAAGGCGCTAGCCTGCTGCAAGAGGGTTCAGCGTACGAGAGCATGGCCTTAAATTTCACCAACTCGTCAATCCTGAAGCCTGATTCCTACACCATAAGACCTTAAAAAATACATAAACCGGTTCAGATAATATGAGTATCAACATCCATACTAACAGGAATACCAATAAGCACACACTAGACCCTAAACCCTAAACCCTAAACCCTAAACCATCTGACTCTAACTTTCGTCAGAGACCTGAAGGGCTGACCCTCACGCATTGCATGGCGCGCAGCGGCAGAGAGAGGGAGAGAGAGAGAGCTTTCACTATGACCATTAAACAAGTCAATAACACACACATATGTGTATATATATATATATGTATGTATGTATGTATGTATGTATGTATGTATGTATGCATATACATATACATATATATATATATATATCTACATATGCATATACAGATACATACACACATACATGCACACACACACACATATATATATATATATATACATGTATACCTACATACTTACACACACAGAGATACACATACATTTATCTCTCAATCGAAAACTCGGTATCCACTCGCAATTGGGGTGTTTGAAGGCGGCTGGAGAGGTGCAACTCAGTGAGCGTCATGCATCTTCGTCAAGAAGATGGCTTCAGTGGAAAGTATTGTTATGAGAATGTGATTACTAGTAGTAGAATAGCCGTAGGCTTTCGATCCATGTTCTGTCTAGGACCGCAATGAGGGATCCATGTTTTCATTGCTGGATCCCTTGTTTTCGGAGGACAGTAGCAATGGGCACCAGCTGAAATCTGTGCTTCCCATCTTTGCCGGACATCGCAGCAGGTGTAGGGCTTTAGAGTTTAGGGTTTAGGATCCTTACCGTAATCCCTGTTCTTCGCGAGCCGTACTATGACCCACCCGAAACCTCCTAAGCTTATGCCCGCGTTTTCGGGTGAGGTTCCGCGACTTCGTTCTAGAAGGGAATCTTCTGCTCTTCGGCCCGCATGGCTTCGTGACTTATCCTGATGAAGAGATGGAGGCCAGACGGATTTCGGGCCGGCCTATTCGAGTCTTGTTACTTGTTGTTCGTTAGTTATACTTCTTTGTGGGTTTCTCACACTTGGGTTTACGTGTCACATCATGTGTTGGGGCCAGCTTTCAGCCGCGGTCTGCGAGTAAGGAAATGCCTGGGCCCTGCTACACCCGATGCTTTAAACCCCAATGCAAAGGTTTGTCCCGGTTACTTATGTGCTTCCGTGAATGGCTGGTAGATCCAGGTTTCCCTTTACCTGGCCGCCTGGCCGCTTCCTCACAAGTGTGCAAATCTCCATCCCCGCGGGTTTGGGGCTAAGGGTTTTGACGTGGGGGTTTCGGTTCAGGGTCATATACTCCCCTCTTGAAGCACCACACTTTACCCTAAACCCTAAACCCTAAACCCTAAACCCTAAACCCTAAACCCTAAACCCTAAACCCACAGTTTAAGCTCAAAGCCGGACAGACTTCGGAATTGAGCATTCAAGCCCCATCCTGAGTTTACAGAGGGGGACAAACCGCTGCACACACTAAGCCCTCAATTGCACTGCATCAGAGACTGTATCCTCTGAAGACGAAATGGCCTAAGACCTTCAACCCTAGACGCCTAAACCACAGTTCCATAGAATTTCCTTGCATACATACATACATACATACATGCATGCATGCATGCATGCATGCATGCATGCATGCATGCACACTGACACACATCTAGCCATCTATACTTGCATCCATCTATCCACCCATCCATCCATCCATCCATCCATGCCTGCCTTTATGCATGCCTGCATGCATGCATGCATGCGTACATACATACATACATACATACATACATACATACATACGCCATGCACCTGCAAAAATACATACATACTTACATACGTACATACATACATACATACATACATACACGTACATAGAAATGGTCGGTCTGTATACATAAATGAGTAGTTTAAGTCAGAGAAATACATACACACATACCTACATACCTACATACCTACATACCTACATACCTACATACCTACATACCTACATACATACATACAGACAGACAGACAGACAGACAGACAGACATACATACATACATACACAAGACACATACATACACACTTGTTTATGTATCTATTAATACATACATACATGCATGCATGCATGCATGCATGCATGCATGCATGCATATATATATATATACACACATGCACAATATCTATATCTACAACTATATAGAAGTATGTATGTGTGTGTCTGTATGTGTATATATATATATATGTATATACACATATGTACATACATAGATATGCATACATCTATAAATATGTCTATATATACATATGTTTATATACATACAGACTCTGAACCTGAACAGGTCCTCCCCGACCAGGGGCCAGAAGCCTCGAAGCAACAGGAAGACAAGCCGCGCGCTTGGGTCTTCTGCTGGCGGAGTTTATATGGCTTCACAGGTTTCAGCATGGGTCTTCATGAGGGCTTAGATGGCCTGATACGGCATCTGGCATCTGTGCTAAGGCATTTTCTGAAGCCGAGAGAGAGAGAGAGAGAG